GGTGAATATAAAAAATGAAGGACATGGGATGGGAATGGACATCAAGGAGAAAAAAAAATTAAGAGATGATCCAATTAATTGAGAAAATACATAAAATTAGAGATAATTCTGAAAAAAACACAAAATTTTAGCAGACACTGGAAACAGTATCAAGCGGTTGATGCAATATCGGCCTTATTGAAAAAAAGTTTTCCTTGCTTGGATTTTTGAAATAGAAACCATTTCCTCCCAGAGTTTCAATTCCAACATCTTCTAAGAGGAAGATTGTTTTTCCCATTCTGTTTTAGTGTCCATTCTATGTCCAGTCTGATTCACAGGATGGGAACTAAACAACTGAGTTAAAAATAAAATAGTACAATAAGAAAGACACAGGTAAATTGCAGGGATTTCTAGTTTGAAACCTTTTAAGAAGTTCCAACAGCTTTTCTAAGCTTCATGGTTTATGGTTTGTCTACTTCAACTCTTTCCACTGGTGGATGCTTGGAATTTCTCCCATTCTAGTTCAGCTTGCTGATTTTTTTTTTTTGTGTGTGTGTATGTATAATGCTATGTCCATGTATTACATACTACATTGTGTCCTGCACATACATGTACAAATATATGCATATAGGTATATATAGGCATAATTTGGTAGATTTTGAGCTTCAGTAATTCCCATGTGCCGTCCCCTCTTTTCTCTCTCTGATCACCTTCCTCCATTATATGGTTTTCCCTCCTATTTCTTCTCTCTCTTTTCTCTACAAAACCACTCAACTTTTGACTTTCTGATTCTGGCTACTTTTAGCATGATATTCTTCAGTTTCATCCACTGACCAGCAAGTGACAAAATCTCATTCTTCTTAGGATAGATTGAAACTTTATTGTGTATATTCATCATATTTGCTTTCTCCATTGAGGGACATCTAGGATGTTTCCGTAACTGGGTAATTGTAAATTCATTGTTATAAACATGGGTATGCATACATCACTACAGTATACTGTATTTTAGTTCTTTTGGGTAAATACCAAAGAGTGGAAGTGCTATGTCATAGATGGTTCCATTCCTGGTTTTTGCAGATCTCCACATTGCTTTCCAAAGTGGTCGTACCAATTTCTACCTACCAAGAATGTATGAGTGTACTTTTCCCAGGATATCCTCCAAAGCAATTATTGTTATTTGTATTTTTGATGGGTGACATACTAACTGGAGTGTGATGATATTTCAGTTTAACTTTGATGTGCTTGATCACAAGGGATACTGGACATGTTTTAATATATTTGTTGGCCATTTACATTTCTTCTTTTGATAAATGTCTGTTTAGTTTATTTGCCCATTTACTTATCGGGTTATTCATTTGTTTGGTGTTAAGATTGTATCTTCTAAGTTTTTATATTCTGGATATTAATTCCCTCTCGGAAGAGTACCTGGAAAAGGTTTTCTCCAATTCTGTGGGTTTTTCATGCTCCTGTTTTCTTTGTTGTGAAGAAGCTTTTTTAATTTGCTGCCATCCCACTTATTGATTCTTGGTTGAGCTTTAGGTATTCAGGAAGTTGGATCCTGTGCCAATTTGTTAGATTCCTGACTTAGGTTTTCTTCTAGCCATTCTAGATTTTCTGATCTAATTCCTACATCATTGATCCACTTTGAGTTTACTTTTGTGGAGGGTGAGTGATAGCAATCAAGTTTCAGTCTTCTATATATGGATATCCAGTTTTATCAGCATCATTTGTTAAAAATAATATATTTTCTCCAACATATGTTATTGGCAGTTTTGTCAAGTACCAGATGACTGCATCTATGTAGATGTCTCTGTCTTTTGTACTGTATCATTGGTCTTAATGTCTTCTTTTTAAACTTTTTATAGTTAGTTATACATGACAGCAGAATGCATTTTGATTCATTGTACACAAATGGAGCACAATTTTTCATTTTTCTGGTTGTACATGATGTAAAGTCACATCACATGTGCAGTTATCATACATGTACCTAAGGTAACAATGTTCGTCTAATTTCACCATCTTTACTGCTCCCATGCCCCCTCCTATTCTCTCCCCTTCTCCACTTTGCCCAATCACAGTTCTTCCATTTTCCCCATGCTCCCCCTTTATTATGGATCAGCATCCACTTATCAGAGAGAGCATTTGGCCTTTGATTTTTTGGGATTGGTTTACTTTGCTTAGCATAATATTCTCCAACTCCATCCATTTATCTGCAAAAAACATACTTTCATTCTCTTTTAATGCTGAGTAATATTTCATTGTGTAAATATTCCAGCGTTTCTTTATTCATTCATCTGTTGAAGGGCATCTAGGTTAGTTCCACAGTTTAGCTATTGTGAATTGAGCTGCCATGATGTGGCCGTGTCACTATAGTATTCTGATTTTAAGTCCTTTATGTATAGAGCGAAGAGTGGGATAGCTGGGTCAAATGATGGTTCCATTCCAAGTTTTCTAAGAAATCTTTATACTGCTCTCCATAGTGGTTACACCAATTTGCAAAGCCACCAGCAATGTATGAGTGTACCTTTTTCTTCACATCCTCGCCAACACTTATTATTGCTTGTATGCTTGATAATTGCTGTTCTGACTAGAGTGAGATGAAATCTTAGAATAGTTTTGATTTGCATTTCTCTAATTATGAGAGAAGTTGAACATTTTTTTCATATATTTGTTGATCACTTGTGTGTCTTCTTTTGAGAAATGTCTATTTAGTTCCTTATTCCATTTATTGATTGGGTTATTATTATTATTATTATTTTGGTGTTATGTTTTTTGAGATCTTTGTGTATCCTTGAGATTAATGCTCTGTCTAAGGTGCATGAAGTAAAGATGTTCTCCCAACCTATGTGCACTCTCTTCACGTTCTTGATTGTTTCCTTTGCTGAGAAGAAGCTTTTTAGTTTAAATCCATCCCATTTATTAATTCTTGATTTTATTTCTTGCACTTTAGAGGTCTGGTTAAGGAAGTCAGGACCTAATATGATGTGATCTGAGCTCATTTTCTGCTCACAATGTGACTTGTTGGACAATGATGTCTATCTTTCTTAAACTTGATAGGAAAGATTCATTTGTTTCATGGAAGGAGAGCTTCCTCTCCCTTCTGAGTCACCACACACTGGGTGCTGCTCATTTCTGTTGCTTTTATTAATTCCCTTTCTGCTGAAGAACCTGATGTTTTTGATATTCACCTCTCTGCTACCTCTGTGAAAAAATTTTAGTTTTTTACCTCAGTTTATCTCTGTAGAACTAATGTTTTAATTCATGCTTGGGAACTGCTACAATATTGTGGGTTCCTCTGGTCTTTCACTTTCCTTATTTTTAGTACTTTCATCTTAAGTTTACTAAATGTTTTCCTCTATATCATGGAATATGCTCCCATTTGGTCTCTTTGAAATGCTGATTGGACAATCTTAGAAAACTGTCAGATCAGGCAAGGCGGGCAGTGACCAAAGGAGGCAGATTTATTGAGATATCACTCCCAGGTGGAACTTGATCAGACCCACCAAGTGGACAGGGGAAGGGCCTGAGGAGAAACCACGAGGAAGCTTGACCCGACTGGACTTTTATTGGGCTTACAACAGATATAGACAATATGTCTATTGAGATAGCTGTGTCTAAATATTGATTACTTTTTATTGGCGAGCCTATAGTCCACCTGGAGATCATACAAGCCCTATAAAATAAATTCTTGCTATGGATTAGTTATAAAGTTACCGAATTTATATGTAATTCATGTGTTAGGTTTATTTTGTATTTTCAAATCTTCTCTAGTCAGTATTTAAAATTAACCTTTGTTGATGTCAAGTCTGTATCAAATAATTCCCTCAATCCTAAAACAACATTAGTTGTTTTTTTTATCAAGTACCTTCTTAATTACCAATGTATGAAAGCTCTTTTGAGTCAGCCCCTTATCCTCAGAAGCTGCATTATCCCTACTCTGTCATTTAAATGAACAGTTAAGTCCTAAACCCTCTGTCTTCATGTTTGTGGTGTCTTTTTCCATTTGTGTCTTAAGCAGGGTGAATTTCATGGTGAATTTATTCTTGTAATTTTTTCCTAAATTATTTGTTGTCTCTCATCTGGAATATGTTCTGTCTTTACAATTCATTCACGTTTTGTTTACTCTATTTTAGACTGTGTTGTCATATTGTCTTTTGCATATTTTCTAGTTCCTAATGAGTATAGAAATATATAGGAAATCTTATGTCCAAGTAAATTCTTTATTGGAAGAAGAAAACTGCATATTCTTGATTTAAGTTATTTTATCTTCCATGATATGGTCCTATTTTACCCATTTTTTATCAGTTAAAACATATTTTTCTTCAAATAAGAGAAAAACCCAATGACCAGAGCTTAAAATAATGGATTTAGTCATCTTACATACAAGGAAAACTTGTGGTGGGCTAGACTAGGTTTAGTACAATAACCCAGAAATATCAGAGACTCAGGTGCCTTCCATTTTCCTTCACCATATGTTATGGGTTGCATGTGGTGTGTCCCCTCAAAAATTTATGCTGAAAGTTGTTCCCCAATGTAACAGTGTTGAGACTTCCTGGGACAACTATTGTTTACAAATCTGGTTGTGTGTTATAGCAACAGAAAATGAACTAAAAAAATTGTACTTAATATACTAGCTTTTATCTTTATGATTAAATTTTGCAATCTTAAAACAATTTCTGTCTTACCTACACTGTGTGTCTATATTTTGAGTAGAAAGAAGGAAAGAGAAGTGGAACCAACAGACTTTCCCTTGTATTTTATTGCTAAGTAATATATTCCTTGTTCTTTCTAGGTACAAAAATGATGGTGGACACAAAATTTAGGTGACAAGGGCTAAGAAAGTGGGAAATGAAGATTTGATGAATTAATCTGTAGTTTACCATACCACACAATAACTATTTATGATACTATATTCTTTTATTTCTATGTTAGCTTAACTTTATAACCATCTGATTTCTTTTGAAATTATTATAATTAAATACTAAATTAATTGTGAAATAAATACATTGATTTATTCCTAGGAAAAGGGCAATCAACAGACTGAGTTTACCACAGAAGCCTTAATATACATTGTGACTGATCTTTTTGTAGCTGGGACAGAGACAACAAGCACTACTCTGAGATATGGTCTCCTGCTTCTGTTGAAGCACCCAGAGGTCACAGGTATGACTTCAGACGGTGAGCAGGGTGAATTTCACAACAGAAACTTGGCAAGACACTGCTGGTGTCCTCCATCTTATTTCTCTTGAGGATAAACTTTATTGAAATTTCTGTGTTGCCAGTTATAATTTGTCCACAATAAATTAAGGAATAAAAATAAGGAAACTTTGCACAGTAGGGAACAGTGACTGAGAGAAGTGAAGGACAGAATGGGCAAGAGCAAAGCAGTAGAGCTCTGGTCATGTCTGGATTCTACTGGGAAGTGACTTGTAGCATGCAACAGCTAGCATGAGTTGGCCTAAGACTGCACATTGCACTTTTTAAGGAGAAGATACTTGGATTATTTGGTGTTTTCTTGCAAGATTTCTGTGGAAATCTCTCCTTATTCTGAAAATTTCATGCTCTAATGCTAGATAGGAAAAATAAAAACTCTTAATTGGAGTGTAAATAAAAGCTTTAGAAATGTAATGAGGTGGCAGGGATATTACTAGCGTCTGAGAAGTTTTCTAAAAGGTTATAGTCAAAAGGAAGGTATTGCTACTTAGAAGAATTGCCTAAAGGAATATTATTATTCCAGAAGTATGTTTCCATTGATTTTATCTTTTATGAACAACTCTATTTAGAAATGTCCCTTTAAAGAGTTTCAGTAATGCAACTCTGATTAGAAGCAAACACCACCTTTTCCTGTTTCAGAACCCCTTCAAAACTATCATAAAGTAATCCCAAATGAGAATTATTTCTTTTGAACTGGGAGAAGATGAGTACAGGAAACAGCCAACAAACCTTTAACAAATTTCAGAAACACAGAGAGCTGAAGGAAGGGACATAACTCAGCAGAGAGGATCAAGCTGTGGCTTATCTGAGCTTATATGTCAGAAGAAATATTAGTGTGAGAAAGCCAAAGTGTGTCCCTAAAAATATTCTAAATGGTCAGCATTTAGAAGCACCACATGTCAATCAACTTGGGGGAAACTGAGGCAAAATAGGGGTCCCTCTGTGCTCAGGTGCTCTCTACAACCTCTTTGAGCAGTTAAGTGTTTTCATCTCATAGGAAGAGAAGTTTACTCTCTAGACAAACTGAGAGGTGCTGTGATCAATTTTAAAACACCAAAGCAAAGTTAAAAATCACATAAACTTTCAGAAATAAACCAGGTCTTTTATAAAGAATTACGAAGCAGAAGGGCATCAGAATTCTAAAGAGCAACTGTTATTGTGTGGGTGATAGAAAATGTAAGAGTCAGGTTGGTGGCATAAACCTATAATGCCAGCTATTCTGAGATTAAAGCAGGAAGTTCAGGCAAATTCAAGGCTAGCCTGCGCCAGCCTGTCTCAAAATAAAACAAAAGGGCTGTGGATGTGGCTCAGAGGTAGAATGCTTCTGGGTCAATCTCAGGACAAACAAAACAAAACAAAATAAAACAATAAAAAACACACCAAAAGCAAACAAAAAACAAACTCCAAACAACAACAACAACAATAAAACAAACAAAAAAAATCAATAAAATGAAACATGTTTTTAGATCCATGCTTTGTACAAAATTTATTCCCCTTTTTCACTTTCACAGAAAGATACTAGAGCATATGATGCATCCAAATATTTGAAATCAAGTCAGAGGCAGTCACAGGTTCCAGGAATCAGAAGACCTTATGTATAAGGATGATAGTTTAAAGGAGGGTCCTGGGCACCAGGCCTAGGAAAGAAAATAATGATCCATGTTAAGTAGATAAAGCAGTTGTAATGGAACAAATGAAAAATGATAGAATCTAAAGTTTAAGTATTTAGAAAATTATTGCAAGGTGTTTGAGACATCAACCTAAGCATTTGGATACAATATAAGAAACTAGAGAGTTAGAAATTGGTATAAGTTGTTCAAATATAAGTTAAACATATGCAATGAAGGAAACATACACTTACCAGTGAACAGTAGTTATGTGGTCATAATGGTGTAAACAAAGCATATTGATATAATCAAAACTTGTGATCAAAATAAAAAGCAGTAGATAGGGGAAGTATGTGAGGGATGTGGGTGTGCATATTTATTTGTAGCGTGTAGTTTACATGAGTAAAGATGGATCTTAATCTTCCTTAAAAGAGTCATTAGAAATTTTCTGAAATAAATCAAGAAACCAAAATAGATCATTATTTAGAAATGTAAACATTTCAGAAGAAACTATTAGTATGATTCAAAAATTTTACATTTAAGGAATGAGAGATTGGAAAGGGTTACACTAAAAAACACATGCACACATTGGTACATTAACACACAGACACACACAGACATGCATAGATTTATTAAAATTTAATTTTCTAAAGTCATATGATTTCAATATAAAATTCCTGTTCATTCCTACTTTTCTTTCTACAATGATAATTTTTTAATTAATTATGTGACGACTTCTAAATTTGAAACATTTTATCATTTCTATTTATATTTGATATCATATATGCTAGTATGTTAGACATATAAGTTTGTAGATATAATTTAATAAAAGCTTATAGGACAGTCATAAATGTATATGACTCATGGTACATTGATGTATGTATTTATATGTCTATCAATATTTGTTGGCAGATATTGATAAATAGATATAGATAGATATAAATAATATCATGCTGATCTTTTCATATGTTCAGCAGTACTTGTAGCATATAAGTCATGTCTCTAGTATCTTTTGTCTACACACACAATGCTTCATATAACCTTGAATTATTTCAAGAAATATACTGCTATTCTCTTTTCCATTGGTCCTTATTTGTACCTTATCAGCTAAAGTCCAGGAAGAGATTGATCGAGTCATTGGCAGACACCGCAGCCCCTGCATGCAAGATAAGAACAGTATGCCTTATACAGAGGCCGTCCTGCACGAGATCCAGAGATACATTGACCTCGTTCCAATCAATATGCCCCATGCAGTGACCTGTGACATTAAATTCAGAAACTACTTGATTCCCAAGGTAAGACTATTTTGCCCACATTGCCCTTCTGTTCTCTTGAAGTTCCTATATTCTCAGCATGGTTTCAATCTTCAGCCAAAATAAGATGAGAGAGTACAAAACTCATCCATGTAACACCTTGATGGACTCAGTGCTGGACCAGGCTAGGTCATGAAGCTCCATAATGCAGAATCAGGAACACAGTTAAGAGGGTAAAAGAAGTGTGACTTCTGTGAAAGAGTATTCCCCTTTGTCTCTTCTAAATAGAGCACTGGCCTTAAACTCATGGATTTTATGGCTTGGTTGCCTACCTGGAAACATCAGTGGTCTTCTTTGGACAAGGGTTTCTTATCATAACATCTGGACTAAGTAAATTCCAACATTTCCTCTAGCTCCATGACTTCTTTACAACTTGGTTTATCTGGGTCTGTTCATTGCAGGGCACAACCATAATTACATCACTGACATCTGTGCTGCATGACAGCAAAGAATTCCCCAACCCAGAGAAGTTTGACCCTGCCCATTTCCTGGATAAGAGTGGCAAATTCAAGAAGAGTGACTACTTCATGCCTTTCTCGACAGGTAATAGTAATTTATTTCAATTGGTACTTTAGGAAAGAAAAAAAAAAATAGCTTCACGGGATCACTTAAACTTGACAGTGATTATTTGGGGGCTGGTAGGAATGTTCTTCCACATGTCAGGAGCCCATAAACTGTCCAAGATCAGGCCACAACATGGTTACTGGGTCTGATTACTGGGGCATTGGGGAACTTGGCTTAGTTCTGGTAAAGTAAGAAAGCTACAGAGAGAGTAGAGTGAGTCATGCCTCAGAATGCAACATTGCACTCCCAGAATGCTTCTTAGAAGATTAATTAATCTCCACTGTCCTCAAATGTCTGCAAAATTTATCTAACTTCACCACTTTGGTGAGTATCTTCCACATGGTGCCTCTCATTCCCCTGCTGACCTCTGGGTATGGTAAGTATTCACAGCACAGAATGGGCCACCAATAGGGTGTCACACCCAAGTTAGCCAAGCAGATGCATAGATTGTTATAATCCAATGTGTCTAGTCCTGTAAGAGAGGGAAGAAAGGATTGGCTGTTCATGGTGGCAGAGGGAGAAGATGCCTCCTGCCTGTTCTCTCATACCACGTGGTAAGGCATAAAATGGATTGAGTGACATTCAGATAGAAGAAAGGACATTAGCACCACCTGGTAAAAGGCAAAGAGAAAGGACTGAAGAGAGGCAGGGCATTTTAAGAGACACAATGAGCCATAGGAGCAGGATGTTTGTTCCTGATCAAGGATACCAGAGCCTTCTGACTGATCAATGAGGATTAGCAAAGCTTGGGAGTCATGCAGATTCCTTTAAGGACAACAGAGTGCCTTGATCTACCTATATCTAGTTCCCTCCTTGGGACAAGGTCCCTTTACACTGAAGTATTTACTGAGTCTCTGGCATATCATTGCCGAAATTTGTTCTTTGGCTCTTCAGGCTTGCTTTTAGGTCTTGCATTGTGGATACTAATATGACAAGAACTGAACTCTGCCTTAATGGAACTATGTTTTAGCAGTCTAGAAAAATAGAGAATAAGGATTCAAATAATCTGAGCTTCATTGTTGATTAAAGTCAAAGAGGATGAGTATCTACAGCCTAGAAGAATCACAAAGGGTGTAACAGAGAAATGACATTTGATCTAGAATCTGAGACAAGCCCTAAGTGCATTCTCGTCAAAGGAACTGCATGAGATAAAGCTTGAAACTGCATTGTATGGTTTAGGCTGATGAGACTGAATGGATCTGGTGAATGGGAGGAAATATCATGGCACATCAGACTGGGAACAGGGAACACAATCAGTGTGTGTTTCTGTGAAAAGATTGATGGAAACATGAAATGTCAAAAAAACAGTTTTAATGTGGACATCATTAATGAAGTTCTTGGCATAGAGTTGCTACTCAATAAATATTGATTGAATGATGAATGCTGTTAAATTATTAGGTAGATAACAGGTGTGTCCATCCTTCTGTCTAATCAGCCATATTTTTTATTTACTCTTTTCAAAAACATTTTTAAATTATGGATGGACACAATACTTTCATTGTATCCATTTATTTATTTTTGTGCTTGGGATCAAACCCAGTGCCTCACACATGCTAGGCAAGCACTCTATCATTGAGATAGAATACCAGCTCCATATTTACTCTTGGTCTATCCATCCATCCATCCATCCATCCAACATCTATCCATCTATCCAACCATCCATCCAACCATCCATCCTTCCAATCATTCATCAAATAGCGACTCTGCATTTTTTTGTGTGAGAGTCATAAATGTACTGTTCAAGGAATATTTATCCTCTCTCTTGGTTATTTCAGGAAAACGAATTTGTGCAGGAGAAGGTCTGGCCCGCATGGAATTGTTCTTATTCCTGACCACCATTTTACAGAACTTTCATCTGAAATCTCTGGTTGACCCAAAGGATCTTGATACCACTCCAGTTTTCAATGGACTTATTTCTGTGCCACCTGCATACCAAATCTGCTTCATTCCTATCTGAAGAAGAACAGTCTGTTTGGCTGCTGCTGTGCTATCATCTGGAATCTTCTCTTTGGGGCATGCTCCATCTCCTTCTCTGTCAGGCATGTCTTCTCTGACCTGCTTCTCACCATTCTATTTCTTTGAAATCCAGTGACCATCCAACCCCCATTAGACAGAGTTTCCACAAATTCATGTTTCCTATTCATATACTGTAACGCTTGCATTAGCCATTCTGTATTTTAACACTGTTGTGAGATTTTACTATGGCATCACTGTAAAAATGACAAAAACCTGGGGGGGTAATCATGGGAAGTGCAATAAATCAGGCAGAACAAGATCAATCCACATGGTTTTATTTTTATGTGAATATAAAAAAGTTATGCTTTTAGAGTAGAGATAAATAATTCTTATCAGAACTTGGGATAGGGTGACTTGTGAGAACTTGTGAGTGAATGGGGAATGACAATTAGTAGTTAAAGATCCAAAGTTTTAGGTAGACAGGAGAAGTGAGTAGTGATGGTCTAGTGCAGAACATGGTTCCTCTTGTTAACAATAATGTGTTGCATACTTGAAAATTCCTAAAAAGGGAGACATTAGATACCCTGCCCACATATAAAGGACAGGTATTTGAGATAATGACCATGTTAATTATCCTGATTGAATCATCCTACCATATATAGATATATCACAATGTACCCCACAAATACATATGATTACTACTTGTCAATCAAAAACATATGGAAGTAGATTAAAAATAAAAACTGCAAATGAAAACTACATTGTATCTATTTTTTAGCAATCTTGGTTACTAAAGGAAGATATATTAATCAGGTGTTGGCAAAAGGGAAGAACAACAGGCAGCCTTATATCCTGACAGAACAACAATTTCTCAATAATGCTGCTCTAAGTATCTTACCAAAATCTATAATCTTCTCTTCACCACCATCTTCCCCATCATTCAACTTCTGATTCCTCTACCCTGCCTTTGTACTTTGCTACATTAATTATCTTATTATTTTGGGGTTTGAAGATCTAATGTCATCTCCCCTGGGCTAAGATGATTCTGTCACCCAGGTTGGTTCCTTTTGGAGGCTCTAGGGAAGATCATTTTCCTAATTTTTTTCATCTTCTAGAGGCTGCCAGCACCCCTGGACTTCTGAGTCCTTTGTCACATCAATTCAACCTCATGATCACATCTGCTCTCTCCTTATATCCTCTCATTTTTCTTTTACACAAACCTTACTGAATCCAGGTGTGGTGGTATACACCTGTGATTATTGCCTCAGGAGTTTGAGGTGGAATGATTACAAGTTCACAGCCAGCCTAGCAATTTAGGGAGGCCTTAAGCATCTTGTTTCAAAATAATAACTGAAAAGGGCTGAGGAAGTGGCTCAGTGGTTAAGGACACTTGGATTCAACATCTGGAATAAAAAAAAAAAACTCCCCTCAAATAAAGAAAGAAACACCTTGGTGATTACATTGGACACACCAGCATAATATAGTGGAATCTTTCCATTGACATAATCACATCTACAATCTATCTCCCTTTTATCATGTAAATTAACAAATTCATGCATTTATGAGTTTCAAGTGTTAAGATGTAGATGTTCTGGGATGTGAAGTCATTATTATACAGCCTACGTTGTTATTATTATATTCTACTATGAGCAAGATAATTCAGACAAGGCTTTGTTAAGTTCTTGTTCAGGCTCACAAGGAGGTGAATCCCAGGAATATCTGACTTTAAAATAAAGGTTTCTAGTAAATTGATTTGAATTCTTTTTGGGCTCAGTATATTTTAGTTTTATAGCTTTGTTGGCAGGTTGATTGATATACAGTTATCATTTGTTAATATTTAATGGAGAGAGAAGGTAGTTTTACATTTCAAAAGAAAAGCCAACTTTGTACCAAGGATCAAGGTTCATAAAGGAATGTAATTTCTCAATAGCGGCACAGTACACAAGAAATTTACTAGAAATAGACCTCGAGAATTTTTGTTTCTGTTTTTTCGTACCAAGAATGGAACCAAGGGGTAATTAAACACTAAGCTACATCCAGAGACCTTTTTTATATTTTATTTAAAGACAGGTTTTTGCTGAATTATTTAGGGTCCCAGGAAGTTGCTCAAGCTATCTTTGAACTCATGATCCTCCTGCTTCAGCCTCCCAGGGTACTGGCATTGTAGGCATGCAACACTGTGCCCAGCTACCTTGAGGATTCTAAGAGAATCTATTTAAAATCTAGAAACCTAAGCTCAGACAACTTTCAACTAATTGATAAGGAAATATCAGGAAATTGATTTTCTGTAATAGTCAGGGGTCTTCAGAGAGAGAGAGGAATAGAGGGTCAAACTGATAGAGATACATGATAAATAGATGACAAGGAATGTGTTATAGGAATTGGCTCCCATGGTTGAGGAGACTGAAAAGTCCCATGCTAGGTGATCTGCGGTCTGGAGAACAAAGAAAACCAGTGGTGTGTCTCAGTGCAAATCTAAGAGCATGAGCAGAGAAATGCTTTTTTGAAAACACCCTCACAGACGTAACCAGAAATTATGCTATTGGGTATCATTTAATCCAGTCAAGTGCAAATCTAAAATTAACAATTGCATCTCCCGTGCATTTTTTTGGGAGAGGATTGGAGTGGCATTATTCCTAACAAGAGAACAGAGGAAGACAAAAGAGAAGCTGGATGCAGACATAGAAGGTCCAAGATGATGGTCAAAGGGAAAATCTCCGAGGATGTTAAATGTTGGTCCTAAGATAAAAGATGGGCTCTGGGGTGGAGGGAGAGGAAGACAAAGTCAAAGGACTAGAAGTTGCTAACCCCTTCCTCTTTTTGTGTTGCTCACTGATCTGTCAGTTGGAGTGGCCTAAAACTGAAGCTGGTTGAGGTAGCTCTCAGCTTCCCTTCTCACCAGTACAAGGTAGGATGGAATGGGAAGTACTGTAGACTGAAGTTTTGTCTGGGCAGACAAGATTGAGGCATTCCAGAGGGGAGCTGCTGCAGAGTTAAATGAGGAGGAATCCAGCAGTTGGGGCTTAAGTCTAATAAGGCCTCAGGGGTCTTGTTGGGTGGTATCTGCTCTGGAGAGATCAGACCAGCAAGCCCTGAGGACCTGGCAAATGCTGATTTGCGCTGGGAGTCTGGATGTCAGGGGGCTCCCAAGCATTCCACTTGTGCAGCAGAGGAGTCAATCCACACACTGTGCTATCCACAAACACAGACTTCTCAGGCTTAGTCCCTGAGTGTATACACCCTCCTGTTCAGTTTCCCATCTCTCTTCAACTGGTCACATGAGCTGCCAGATTTAAAGGGAAAAATGAGTTGGCTTCATATTTCTTTTTTTGACTTAAATTTCCCTGGGTGCAATCCTTGCATTTGTTTTACTCATTCTCTGCTAGGTATACTCTAGCCCACATATAGACACTTGTTGGAACAGTATGGCCTCAGCTTTCCAGGGCCAGTTAAGAAATATAGAGAATTTTCCAAACATCAGTTTACTGTGTAGCTTCTGGAACAGCAAATTTTAATCTGCTTTTCTGATCTCCAGTATTTACCATGCCAATTCTGTCCACTGGGTTTCTCTCTGTGTTATCCATCCTTTTTATAGAGACCCCTGCTACTGCAGTACAATGGGATTTAGCTCCAACATACTCTTTCTTGTTCTAAATTCTACACATCTAAGTTTCTAAATCTGGAAGACAATCAGACCAATATTGAATTTTAGTGAAATCCCTCTGTTATTATTTAGATATTGGGTGTCCCCCCAAAACTCATGCGTGAGACAGTGCAAGAGGATTTAGAGGTGTAATGATTGGGTTATGAGAGCATTTCCTCCACCACACTCTTCCTCCATGATACTATGCTCCAATGTAGGCCCCTAGGAATGGAGTTGTCCATTTATGGACTGAGAACCTTGAAACCATGAGCCCCCAAAGAAATTTTTTCTCCTATAAAATTATTCTTTTGGTGATGAAAAAGACAGTGATGGAAAAGCTGACTAAAACACCCTCATGCACCCACTGAGAAGGAGTACTCCTGTTGCTTGAATCCTGACTCATAGAACAACTGGAAATGTAGCCTTGTTCTAGTCCACCATCTTGAATTTGGGCTGATTTTTATATTTTTATGTACCAGTTAAAATACAATGAAAATGAATATTTTTCCTATATATTTAAGTCCCTTTTTAATAAAGATTAAATTAGAAATAACCCTGTGTATATTCTTTATCACTCTTCATTATATCCTGCATATCTGAACTATAATTTCATACTGCTTTCTTTCCTTACTATAAAGAATGGTGATATCTCTATGATTTTTTTCTTCTGAAAATGTCCTTGCTTTTAAATTTTTTATTTATTTTTATTTTTAGAAAAAGTTTATTTTCACTGCACTTAAGAGGACAGAAATCTCAAATTCATTTCACTGAGCCAAAATCAAAATGTGGGAAGGGTTATTCTCTCTCCTTTGGAGAATTTAGGACCAGATTAAAAACAAACAAACAAAAAACAGACAAGAAAGGATCACTGAAACCCAGACTGACAGACAGGAACCTTTAAAAAACAGACAGATCTGCATGTTCAAATTTCTTCCACTTACATCACCTTTGAGAGTCCAACACAAACTGCCAGATTATACAGTAATCAAGAAAGCTATTTAAGACGGGAGTTTAGACGGGGAAGGAAGCGGTACAGTCCCATCCCCCACAGCGGACACTCCACCAAGGGAATCAGCAGTCAGCATCTTGAACAGCTGA